TGTATGTATGTATGTATGTATGTATGTATGTATGTATGTATGTATGTATGTATTTTTTCTAAAGTTGGCGAGTTGGGGTTCGTGCCTTTTAGGCATGGTCCTGCTCTAGGTCTTGTGCCTCAGTTCTCCGCTCCTGGGAACTCAGAAGAAGTCGACCTGGTAGTGGTCGCAGTCCTCCTCTCGGCCATCTCCGGGTCCGTTGTGCGGGAGGCTTCTTCTTCACCTTCGAGGCTGGGTGTCATGGCCGGTGGTGAAGTTGTTCCTTCAGCCTGGAGCGTGGTCTCTGCAGGAGAGGCCTGGGCTGAGAATTTGAGCTTCTTGGGTGCCGGCGGTGAAAGGCTTGCTGCAGCAGTGGACTGCCGTGGAGGCGTCTCCGGTGTCATGGTTTTTGAAGACTGCTTGCTTTTGGCTTGAGTGTCAAAAAGTTGTTCCAGCGTGGGTGAAGACTGGCTCATTCCTCTGCATTCCTTTTTGAGCCCTTTCGTGAGGATCAGTCGCTCCTCATCATCCAAGTGGCTTTGCAGCCCACATCCTTTGCACTTGATGGTTTCGCCACGCTGCCACAATGTGTGGGTGTGGTAGCCCTGATGCTGGTGGCTGTATGCCGCATCAATGCAGGGCTCTTCCACAAAGTTGCGAAAGGTGTCTTCGTTGGCTCGCTTGTGCACGGCCAGGTTGCACTTGCTGCATTTGAGATACCCTTTGGTCTCTTGGAAAGCATGTTCATCCGGTGTGACTGGATGGATTTGCTCAACGTGGAGGAGTCCAGCAATAGGCCTCGTGGGTGAGTTGATCACAATCTTGTTTGAGTCTGGTCTCTATAGTCTCCACAGTGATAGGTCTGGCAGGTATGGCATTGGTATCCACTGCGGTGCGGCTTCCGATGTTTGCCTGTGATCCATGGTTGCCGACATTGTTGGATGAGCCGCTTCTTGTATTGCTTGGTCGTGTGGCCAGCATTGCGGCTTGGTTTGTCGTGGAGGTAGTGCTGTGGATCAAAGACTTTCTCAAGGCGGGTTGCAGCATGTGTGTAGATCTCCATGTGGTCCTGGTCCAGGGTGCGTTGCCAGGCTTCTGCATGCTGGTCATAGATGGTGTTGGCCCTCTCCCATGCTGCCAGTGCTGCGTCCCTTTGTCTTCGCCGTCGGTGTGGCTCGTTCGCCGGCGCATCGGGTGTGCTCTGGTTCTTGCTGATGTAAAGTGGTGTAATTCTCTTGTATGTCTCCTCTGTTTGCCCTTGGGCGAGATCACGGAACCCCTTGCGTTTTTTTGGGCTGGTCCATGCTTCCCAAACGAGCCCAACTGCGCAATGACCGTGACTGGTGTTTGGACGAACTGTGCAAGGGTGAGGAGGCCTTGGAAAAGTGCCCTGGCTTTGGTTCGTGGTCCTTTGGCCATGCCCGTGATGGTGCCTTTTCGTTCAATCTCGTAGGCCTGTGATTGGTAGGTGGTCCATGGCCTGAAGTCGATGTCTGGTGTTTTGGGCAGCGGCGGAAAGTACTGGATTTGGCTCCTTGGTGGCTGCCTCTATGTCCAATTTGAGGGTGATCAGTGTATGTGGTCGCCAAGGAACTGCCCATTCCGTGGGAATGGATGTGGTTCCTGCCAAGGAGTTATGCAAGAGGCTGTGGTCGATCACGTTTCCTGACAGGACACTGTGGTCTGGCGCCAGAATGCCGAAGTGGAACTTGGAAGGCAGGACCGTGCTGGATATGCTGTCAGGGTTGTTTTGCCAGTCTCCTTTGTGAGCACAAAGGGATGTGCCGTGGCCTCGATCAGCGCCAGGAGCTTGGAGAGGATGGTGGCATTTGTGTCACTTTGCAAGGTTTCATTGGTCTTCATGTAGAGTCCCGTCACCAAGATTGTGCAGTCAGTTGCTTGCCACAGGAAGGCTTGATAGCCGCATCCTTGGATGGTGAAGTCCTCCAGCGGTGTGAGCCCGCATGAAGGATCAGGTAACACCAGCAGTCCACCATGTGCGCCACTGTTGTCTTCATTGGTCCAAGCTGGTGTGCCCCAATCAATGACTTGACGTCCAACGTTGGTCATGTTCCCAAAGTGGAGCTGGTTGTGGCCTTGTTCTATTCTGGCTCTCTTGTACGGGCTGTCGTGGAGAGGAGGATCGTAACGGCTCCTGTGCGGGTGGCAGGCTCCTGATGACCTGCTGTGGTGTTTTGAAGGTGTCGATGTGGACTGCCCACACTTGTGTGATTTGACTTGCCAGCTGTGGTGTCAAACGAGGTAGGTGGGTTGGAGGTTTTCCATCATCCGCCAACCACATGGGATCTCTGTAGATGAGGATGGCAAAATAGTGCCCTGTTTCATGGCTCGGTCCTCTGTGGCATATGAGTGCTGCTGGGACGAACTCTGAGGAGGTTCTTGCACAGCCATCCAGTGATCTCGGGACCTTGAAAGTGCCGTAGGGATTGAAGGCCTTGGTGTGCTTGGTCATGACCCCGTCGATGCGTGTGTTTCTGGTCACATGGCAGACCAGCGCAGGTTTATCGCCCATCAAGTATTGTCCCATACCCATGTTGGACCATCCGTTGATCAACTCTTGGAACGTCACATCGTCGGGCCAATCATCCGGATATAGCACCAGGAGCGGTTGTTGAACATGATCAACCAAGGAACCACCTTCTCTAATCTCTGCAAACCTGTAGTGGAAGGCCCTGGTTTGTGACAGGTTCCACAAAGAATTCGCGAAGTGGCTTGCGTCGCCCTGGACAGTTGATATGTAGGTCTACTGCCTCTGCTGTTTGTCTCACGGTGCAAAGCACAGGTGCAGGTGAAGGCTCTCCAAGGTGCATTGGCATAGCGCCTGGCGCTTGGATTGCCCACTGACATGGAGAGGTTCTGTAAGAGGCAGTCTGTCGTGGATGCATAGTCATTCTGCATCCTGCTCTGTGTCGGTGGAGGGAGTCAACCGGAGTGGCAGTGTGTGCTCCTCCTCGAATGGGAATGACCACAGGCCCATGCGCCCCAACGGGATTGGCAACTATGGCTGCGGTCGGTTCTACAACAGTTGGCTCTGGTGTGTGTGCCCACTTCAAATTGCAAAGTAGAAACATCCCCTCTTCTCTGCGTGAGGTGCCCCAAAGTTGCTCTTGAAAAAGTTGATCCGAAATGGATGGATGTGACTTCTCCCCTCACACCTATCTAGACGTGGAGCTCTGTGGTCTGCTGAGCCATGTGAGGCAGCGCTGCAAACCGTTGTCAGAAGATCTGGTGCTGTGCCGAGTTCATTTGGCGCCTCATCAAAATCGTCAAGGGGTATTGGCCCCATGGTAGGTTGTGGCCGTGTTACCCACACTGCCCCTCTGCAGGTGGTGCTGGTGTGCCATCCTTTTTTGTCTGGGCCGCTTGAGCAAGCCATGCAGGTGGGTTCGCTGCTCTTCTGTCAGTGAGATGCCCAGACTCGAGACAAAGGTTTCCACGGCCATAGGAATTGGCATGCTCATGGCACAGCTCTGCCGGTGGTGGGGCCTGGTTGACCGCCTTCATGTACTGATCAGATAGGTCTTTGAGTTTTTTGTTGACCTTCCGTCAGCTTTTTCTGTAGTTCTTGCATGTCCTGAAACATTGGCTTTTGACCTGGTCGAGCTTGGTCTGCAGCTGAGTTTTCCTGATGGAGATGGTCTTGAGATCCGTCACCTGCGTTTTGAGCTTCTGTGCAATCTCCCTGTCTGTTTCCGGGATTGGCCGAGTCAGGCGGTTGACTACTTCTTGTACTGCCTGTGGCAGAGCTGACGTGTGAGATTTGAGTTGTATCGTCTCCGGGATCACATCCCATGTGGATCAGCTGCTGTCTGCTGTTCCTTGGTCTTTTTGAGTGGTTTGAATTCGCTCAAACCCGGCGGGCTTTCCATCAAAGCTTCTTGATAGGTCTTCTTGTGCAGCAAGTGCTTGATACCATGTCCTTGACCTTTTCCTTTGCCGGTGGCTTTGTTGGCCTTTTGCCACCAGTTGCCACACTTGCGGCGTCGTGTGCCTGGATTCATCTTGTCATCCCAAATCCATTTGTGCGTGTGGTGTTGCCACATACAGTATAGGTCCTGCGCCAGGTGGACTGCTTGGAGGATGTCATCTTGCAGGCTAGGCCACAGGCAAGTAGGCAAGGTGCTCGGCACCGATCACGATCTGGCCTTGCAACTCAACGGAGTTGTTGCCCCAGTGCCCTCTAGGAGGCCAATGAGATAGCCGGCGAGATCCTGCCAGGTGCCGTAGGACTCGACAGAAATGTGGTTGGAGAAGACGTTTGATCACTAGCAAAGAGTGTGTTGTAGCGGTTCTTCTCCCTGGGCTGTGGTCGGTGTCAATGTCCCTGCACCTGTAGTGCTTGGGGCGCAGCACGAACCCGTCTTCACGGGGCTTGAGCAGCTTGTGGCTTGAGCCATGTGTGTATGTATGTATGTATGTACTGTACTGTAATGCAATGGTATGGTATGGGCTCGGATGGGATGGAATTGTATTGTATGGTATGGTATGGTATGGTAGTATGTATGTTGTATTGTTGCATTGCCAAGCACTTTGTTGCCGCTGGAGGCCACCACCAGTT